CAGGAAAAGAGTAAATATGTTACCTGACCCAGCAGACCCCAGCTATGATCAAAACCAGCGAACCTGCTACGATGAAGATGCTACTCATGACTGTAAAGAAATACAGACATAGAGAATGTTGAACAGATCTGTAGGTGTCAGTGGAAGACATAACCCCTGACTGAAAGCTCGTGAAACCTGTTAGTAGCTTAGTGTTGAGGTCATTTTACTACACTGATCTGCCATGAATGTTGTGTAGTTTTAAACTCAAGTCAAGCTGGGTGTTGTTCAAAAGATGTGTGTGTGTGTGTGTGTGTGTGTGTATGAGCGAGAGGAACATAGCCCTTCCCTCTTCCAAACAAAGAGCAAAAATACAGTGAAAAGGCAAAGCAGGATGCTCTGCGTCAACCAGTGGGGTTACGCCAGGTGACGGTAAAGGGGAGCATGGGGTGTACCAGTAGTTTGGACACTGGTAACACAGCTATAAATACGGGCGTCATCCTGACAGACTACAGTGCTCTGAACGAGATGTAGCTGCCCTGGTCAGATATCAAGCATTTACATCGCATCAAAATCCGCTCATTACTTTGAGTTATGCTGTTAACAAACAAACCCGGGCAAAAACATAACCCCCACCCTTGGTGGAGGTTACAGTCCTGAAGGGCTGTCATAGTATTTTCCCCACCTCAAAGTTGAAGTAAATAAAAGTATACTTGTAGCAAAAATAGTTGTTCTGTTAATGTTATGTGTGTGTGTGTGATATACAGTACAAGTGTGATACATTCCTGGGAAGTTGTAAGATTACAGGTAAACCTTCCTCCCTTGTGCTTCCTGCTGCATTAAGATACAAGACTTGTACTGTACATAACATGATTTTGTGTTGTACTAAGGTAACTGTGTTCTAGTCATAACAACTGATGAATGTTACATGCTTAGATACATCTTGTTGTGCCAGTGAACATTCAAACTTCTGAAAATAATGATAAATACAGTCATCAAACCAAGTCTCCCTCACCACTGCACTCAGGTAAGAACTACAGTTCTTTAAGCTCAAGAAGTACAAGTGCAGGTCGCAGATAAAGGATGGAAAAGACTTACTGATGAAGACATGGTCATTGGAGGGGTAGGGAAGGATGACAGGATCACTGAACAGAGTGGGGGTGTGGTTTGTGGTGGTGGTGGTGGGTGTGGCTGTGCTGATGGACTGGCTCGCAGGTTGCTCTGTGGTGGGCGTTCTGTGGGCGGGGCCGGGCTCACTGAGCTGCTTGGATATGGGGTTAAAGACATCCTGTGAGGGTGGAGCTGTGATAAGGAACAAAATAATTTTTGAGTCATACATCACCAAAGATGTAGTGGCAAATACAAATATGGGTAAAGTAGTGGCCTATCAACTACCTGGCAGCCTGGTCTTAGTCCTCTGTTCACTGATGATAGCGGAGAGGAAGTCAATCTGTTCATCCAGCTCAGGGTAAGAGCTCATCCTACCTGGAGGAACACAAAACCAGAATCCATCACTGCCGCTGACAAAACACAGTTGGCGCACCATAGGTGAGTGGGAGTGCACATCAACTATAAAACTTCATATGGAAAAAATACACCAGATGTTATTTTACTCCCCCACATAAATGCTTCACTCATAGTAGATCAACATCATTACAAACCCAACAACCGCTATTTAAAGGGACATTCAAGAGATTTAGTACAGCACTTTCACAAGTCTCCCACATTTGTGGAAGACCTATGACCCCACAGAATACTGAAACAGATGTCAGCCTTTAAAAATCTACAATATGTTGACTGAAATGTAGTCCTTGCTTAAGTGTTAATGTGAAGAACTGGACCCTCGAGTCTTCAGGAGACTAGGAGATTTTAGGCTCTTTTCTCTCAAGGCATGCAGGCCAACCACAGCAGTTTTTACGTCCTTTGGGGCAGGTCCAAGTCAAGTTTCTTTTAGAGCAAGTAGTGAGGCTATGCATGGCCTGCCTGAAGCTGTTTAATGTGTTCTTATTGCTCCATTTTACAAGGACAAACCTTGATACTAGTTTAACTGAAAGTCAAGTAACATTATAAGCAGTCAAGTATAACAGTAGTTAAATCAAAGTCATGGCTTATGTCTTCTGTTTTATGACTCAGACTAACCAAAACTAACAGTATTCTTAAATGATTGGCATACAGAACATCTTTTCTTCTTAAAAAAACAAAACATTGAGTCACACAGATTAACCGATATCCACTCTATGATTCTGCTGCTGTTGGAAATTTGAGTGACTTATCTTGCCCATTTACTAATACTGCTGAGGATCAAGTCAGTGGATTTAAAAAAAAAAGATAACACCTCCTCCATGTGGCATAAAAACTAATAGTCTTGACTGTTTAAATGTGTGTGCTCATGTCACCTCCACCCCCTGTGATCCTGTGCTGTACTGCAGAACACCATCACACTGCCTGGGAGCTTATAATGCTGATGAGTGGGAGGAAGTTACATGGGCATGAGAGCGTGATGTGTGTGTGTGTGTGTAGGTGGGTGATGGTGCGTGTCTTGGAAAAAGCAATAGCAAGGAGTGTGCCTGTATGTGTGCAACATACATTCACTGGCCACTTTATTAGGTACACCTGTACAACTGTATGCAATTCAATGCAACAATTCCACCTTAACATCTGTGTTTTTTTTAATAGAGGTCATAGTTAAAGGTGGTGTTGTAGTGGACTACATCATATTTAAAGATGTCTCTATACTTTTGTCATCCCCAGCTACATACATGAGAGGGTCAGAATATTAGGAAAACCTCTGAATATAATATAGTCCAGTACAACACCACCTTTAACTATAACCTCAATAATAAATATATAGTTTATACATTTATGACAATTTCACCAAAAACTGAAACATCTTGAGCTTCATGAACACAGGTGTTAAGGTGGAAGTTCTGCATTGAATTGCATACACATGATGCTCTGAGTTTCTTTTCCCTCCCCTCCTGCTCTGCTCCTCTCCCCTCCCCTCTCCTCTCTCTCCCTATGCTTCTATATGCCACCATTACACATCACTAACTGTGTGTCTCCTCTCTCCCGTAGTGTGTCCTCTCTCTCTCCCTGTACCTTTCTGCAGGTTGCCCTGGCCCTGGAGCTCTATGTTTCTGATGAGCAGTCACCAGCCACATCGACCTGATCAGTGTTTGATTGTTGTGTCTTGTTGCTTTTCTTCTTTTCTCTCTCCTCTATCCACTCACCCCAACCGGTCGAGGCAGAAGGCCACCTACCAAGACCCGGGGTCTGTTGGAGGTTTTGTCTGTTAAAGGGAGTTTTTCCTCCCCATTGTCACCAAGTGCTGCTCAAGGGGGATTTGTTGGGTTTTCTTCTATAATAATAGTGATAATAATAGTAAAGTCTAGACCTTACTTTGTCAAGTGTCCTGAGATGACTTTTGGTGTGATTTGGCGCTATACAAATAAAACTGAACTGAATAGTTCATCATCAGAAAAAATTACCGTAGACAGACACATAAAATCAAAACTACGATTTGATAAGAAGTACATTTGGGTGCTCTGCTTTCAAAAACGTTATCTTTTACATTTCCCAAAACAAAGTCAGGAAGAAAGGTGGCACTCTTTGATCAAAAACCGCAAAAAACAAAAACCACCCAAACAAACAACAACCCATCTCACTTATCAATCATATACAAGATTATACTGTATAGTATTAATAATCAATGGCCTGAAATGCTGCTGATTCATTTCAGCACAAAGCATGTGTGACAGCACTGAGTTTTCTCTTTATGAAGGACACATTATGTGAACATCAGTGAACAGAAACACCTGCAGCTGTACACATCAGGGCTAATCCTCCACTTCCAAGCACCCCCCCTCAGAAATCTACAACTTTCTTTTTGTAAACAAAAAGAAAACAGACAGGCTTTTGTTTACTAAATCCTAGAGTATGGTCAATACAACATACTGTACTGACCACTTTGTTGGAGTCTCAATCAACAAACTGTCTGATTGAATTTTTGACCAATAAGAGGATGTTTAAAGTATTTGCGGAGCACAGCTAAAAGAAAAAAGTGGTGGAGTCTTTGTTAGTATATGCCAACCTTTCATAACAATATTTTTGATTTGTTTGGAGCAGTGGTTTAAACCTGTGACAAAACACATTTGGGATAGACTTGTTTTTCTAATTTTACTTGCCAACAGTTTGTCTCTGGATGTTTCTTTTGCTTTCTTCCAAACGTGCATTGATTAATTTCTAAAAACAGCCCGGCCCTCTAGTTTTTAACAGTTGAGGAAAGTAATTGAGGACTATTTTTCGTGATGGATTAATCCACATTTGGTCTTATATAGCGAGTGTTTGGAGCAGCAGGATGATGTTTGTGGGATTAAAAAGATTTTCTAAATGGATCTGACCAAAATATATATGTTGTTTAGTAATTTGGATTACAATGACCGACTTATTAATAACCATATAACTGGCCACACTGAGGACCTAGTACCGACCTTTAGCGAACTTAGCAGAGTGAGGAGCGTGCCTCCTCTTGATGACACAGCGGCCATGGGAGTCCTCTACCAGAGGCTGCAGACAGGGGCCACAGCGGGAGCTGCCTGGTTGGCAGAAGTGTCGTCCTGCTTGGGCACAGTCTAAACTCCGAGGGCAGAGATGAGATCCTGTGGAGAAAGACATAACACACAATTACAGAATTTTTGTGTTTATATTATTCATTTTCAACCCAACAGCTCAAAATTTTAATATTACATTTTTAATTAGAAATGTTTTAAAACCAAATTCAATTTTCTAGTTTTCTTTTACTGATGTTTTTACAGGAACAGTTCATCATTTACAGAACATTTGATGGTTGATCAATACCACCACCAGCCACTCAGCCTGACAACATTTTCATTAGCTGTAAAAGCACAACCCTAATAAACGCTCACACATTCAGAGACTGAAGCATCTGATGACGTGAACCAAGACCTATGATCAGGAACTGTTGATTTGCATCAAGTTGAAAAGGGTTACACAGTCATCTCAAGGAGTTTAGAGATTGATCAGTCCACAGTCAAAATGTCTGCAAATAGAGATGATTTGGTTTTGTGGAGGACATGTTGTGCTGCTGTCGTTCATTTCTTTTGTCAGATGATACATTTACAACAATCATAAGTAGTAGTAAACACTCATGTCTTCACAAGTATTAAATTCTTTGGGACATTAACAGAACCAAACATTTAGCCACAGTGTATAGGAAAGATATCCATCACTCCTATACACTGTGGAGAGGCAGAAAGCATGTGAAGTGTCAAACATGTTAAATGTCTGTTTCATTTTCAGTTTCTGGTGCGTGGCGAGTCGTTCTCTTGACGCTAAGCTAAACAGTCTCTTGACTTCTGCTCCACACTGGATCTATTCTGACCATGAGTGATACCAACTTTGTACTTGATGCTTCCATTGTTGAGATGTATGCAACATGGACTCTGTAAAGCATATATCATAGAAACCACTGTGAGCCTCCAAAAGCTTTCCAAATAACATGTGATTTTACATACATTAGTTCAGTCTCTTGTCTGTGAGACAACACTAGGTACGTAGGTATTAGGCCTGGCTACTGTACAATACGTAATTGCATCTACTCTAGGGCAACAGACTGAAACAAACTATCTGCCTATTCATTTGTGAATGCCATGTTTTCTGTACATGTGTGAGGCTGTGGGTCTGTAGCATACACACAAACATGAGACAGAAATCTTTTCTTCCAACTAGCTGAGAAAAATACACACACATTTCCCAAAGTGTTAAACTATTCTTAAACGTCTTAATACTAACCTGCTAGTCTTCTTTTGTCATTATATTCAAATTACTTTAATCTCACTGATGACATTTTATATTTAACTCCTTTCCCTTTTATCTTAAACTCTGCACTATTTTAATTTCATTAAACATTTTAAATATTGTATTCAATTTTGTAAGTATGATTCTATATAAAGCACTTTGAGCTGAACCACATCTTATTGTGCTTTCAGTCTTTGTATCATACATCATAGTCTCCTCAGCCTTGTAATATCACCTTAATACTGCGATCTACTGTATAGAATTAATTAAAGCACATAAGACTTCAGTGTGTTTTGAAGGAAGCCTATATAAAATGGGATTAGATATCCTCCATGCCCACAGTACAGTGCTCGCAGTAAGAATCACAGAACTGCTGCATGTGCTTCCCCACGGGGAGTATTTATTGCACTTGTTGATTTGGTGTGATAGTGCATCCATTTGCTCCTCGCAGCGTTTTGTTAACAGAAGACATCCGAGTGCCACACTGGTCTGGACAGTAGCATAGACCTGGACCCTTCATCCTGCATAGGCTCTGGTGCTCCTGATGCCACAGGGAATAGAATTAGATGCAGCTATCTACAGTATATTACCCTCTCTAGCTTCGTTGTCAGAGCTGCACTCGTGTGTCTCTGCTACAGGGAACCTAGACACTGGTTGCCATGACAACTTCCATTGCTACTGAGAAGGTGACATCATCGAAGAATGAGTCATTGCACGAATGTACAAGTCAGGGATGGAAGGTTTGTTTCTGGCTGGTGTATCGAGATGAAAGAGGCAGGGAGGAAAATGTAAAAGACTGGTATTCTAAAATATGGGTCCTTTCACATATGCATAAAATGGGAAAAGAGCCATTTACTATGGAATTATGGACGATTATAACCAAGACGTATTGTAACCAACACTGCTGAGTGCAAAGCTCCTCAGCATTCACAGTTATTACAGACATTTGTTTTTACAATTTGACATATTTTCAAGAGATTTGTTTTTGCACAACAAAATAAGCTTCTTTTTTTATATTTAATACTCTTCCCCACTGCAATATAATGTGGGCCCCTGTGTCGAGTGAATGCTCCTTGCTGCACTATGATTAATGCCATGACTGAACACCTATTACACAGACATAATGGTACAAAAGCAGCAACTAATCTATGCAAAGCTTTACAACTGGGTGATGGAAAGCAGGATGCACTGGGACTATATGCACCTCTGTTTCTGTCAGCCTCAGCATCCTGTGTGCGAGATGAAGGAGCTGCACTTAGTTCATTTCCAGAACCAAACTCAAAGATTAAAAAACAAAACAAAAACAAACAAAAACACTTTAGTGATTGCAATGAAAGATCACTTTGCTTCCAACTTGTGTAGACTCTTTCAGTTGCACTGCTTTAAATATTTCCTGACTAGAGGGCAGCTTTATCAAGGCTGTATGTACTAAACCTATTATTATTACAAGCTTTCTGTACTTCTGTCAGCAGCACTAATGTTCATTGAGTCTCTGAGCACCAGTGAAATCCCCACAGCGTCAAACACACTTTCTTCTAAAGTCAAAGTTTCCTAGCAACCTCTTGTCCTGTGTTTGATCAAAGAAAATAACATGAACATGCTCATGCTCTCATTTCTCATTCACTTCATCTCCAGGCTGTGCTGAAGTGTAAAGTACGTCCTTAAAAGATTTGGACAGGATATGCCCGATGTAGGCTTTTTAACCCTTGTGCTCTGTTCGGGTCTGTGGGACCCGGAGACACATGTCACCTTAAAAACAACAATATATATATTTATATATATTGTTGTTTTTAAGGTGCCATGTCACCTTAAAAACAACAATATATATAAATATATATATTGTTGTTTTTAAGGTGACATGTGTCTCCGGGTCCAACAATATATATAAATATATATATTGTTGTTTTTAAGGTGACATGTGTCTCCGGGTCCCACAGACCCGAACAGAGCACAAGGGTTAAGAGCAGCACTGTTCAGGCATTATGTCCTACTCCATCCATCCATGTGTCAAATTATGTCTGACTCCTTCCAGCTCTGATGGGCAGCGCTGCAGGCAGGAACAATGGTTTATAATAATCCCATCACACACTTATGTTGTTTCCAGCTTGTTTTGCCACCTCCAAGTGCCAATAAATAAATAAACAATTACTGTAGCTTTAAAGTCAATGTGAAATTTGAACTTTCCTCCTCCTTTCTGTGAGCAAATATAAACTAACTTTGATGATACTAGAATGCTGTGCATGTTCCCCACTTTGTTAAAAGAAGAAATTTGTTTTGGATGGATTCGGGGTCTCAAACGTCTTGGCGATTGGTTGTTTGACTTCCTGGTCCCAAGAGACACGTTACTCTACAGTGGCTACTGGCTGAACAAATGTCACATGTAATTGTTCCTCAAGGAGGGTTTTCCTTTTTTCACATGGTGTTGGTTATCTTTACAACACAACATTAGAGAGGACCCACTGCGCTAGACTCACAAGCTTCCACTCAGAAAGTAGACATCAGCTGGATTAGCTTGCTGACCTTATCAATGACTCCCACTAGATGGGACTTTTCATATTTTAGAACCTGCTGAGTCAATGCAGTTCCTGCACACTCGGTGCTGTGTGTGTTTGCTAGTGTTAGCCTTCTCTTGTGGTCCATTTGCGGTAATGCCAGATGACCAGACAGTCAGCTGTTTTGTTTGTCAGCCAATCAAGAGCATACTGTATCACAGAAGCCATGGTAGAGTTTGCAAGTAGCAGTTAGCATTTTTCACATTGATTGAAGAACATAATAAAAAGTATTTATTTCTACAGGCCTACATGAACTTACAATCAAATGTCAAACATTTAAGCTTTTGATGGATGAGAATCACATGGATGACACATTTTTGAGGCAATATTTCCATCACCAGGTTTTGAGCTCTGGCACAGGAAGAAGATGTCCCACATCTTAACCCCACCTACCGCGCTCTGATTGGCTTGGTTGTTTTTCCAACTAGTGGACAAAGCGGTCAGTGATCATGACATCAGGGGGCAGATATATAAATGATGGTTATGCACAAAAAACATAATTTCCTGCCATTGTGTGGTTAGGTGTTGTCAGTTTGCCTGATTATGTTGTGTGTGTGTGTGTGTTTATGTACCTCTGTAAAATTTCAATCAAAGAGATAGTTGAAGTAATAGATGAGTGATAAACATCATTCTCTCTAACATAGTGATCTTCTCTAACAGTGATCAACTAAAGCTGAAACAGTGCTATGGCTAACTACAACTATACTTAATCATCTTTCACACATAAGAATGGTGATTAGATTCAAGATATTTATTTGCCATTTATGATTACTGCCTTCTCACCACGGTGAAGGGTCAGAAAAGACTCTTTGTCATAGATTAATGGTATTGGCACAACAAATAGCCACAGCTGTGGGTAATGGTCATGCATAACACCACCTGGTCGGTGGTTTTGGACAGTCTCACTGGCATGACCAATAATTAATTAATTAATTAATTAATTAAATAAATAAATAAATAAAAGAGAGAGAAAACACACATATATATGGATATACACATGTTGATATTGAAATACTGATAGACATGCAAAAATCTGTCCAATGTTCTAATCAATTTACTAGTTTGAATTTCAAAAAGATAAAGAACATTTATTTTATTCCTGAAGCTTATTTTTTTCTGATGCCCTTCAACATGGTGACAAATCCCTGACCAAAGCTTTGGTGCTTTTAAGAAGTGTCATCTTCACCTGAAAGACATCTTGCCTTATACCAGGGACAAGACAGGATGAGACACCAATACTATACAAGAACCTTAAACAATACTGCGTTCTACTTCTGATCCACATCCTG